AGCGAGGCTATCTTCAGCTGGGATCCCAGTTAGGAGAGAGAGAACTTTGCTTTGACTATTTTTTTTATTAGAATAACATATCACATCTTGCCTTAACTGGAAAATTACCTACTACCCATTTTGTATTGGGTTTATATATTAAGGACATGAGAATTATAGAGTTTAAAAGAGAAGAGAGTGGAAGACTTTGTTATGTTTGAATTATAGAGTTTAACGATAAATGAAAAAGGATATAAAAACAATAGTTTTAGTTTTGAATTATTATTTTTTATTTAGCCCTCCATTATTGCGTAAAGCAAACTCAAATGAAAACAAACAAAAAAAACTGATACAACCCACATCTGTGATCTCCTATCCCAGCCACAATACCTATCAAATCTTTAGTCCATTGCTCCTTCTCTCAAAAAGCAGAAAAAATTCCTATATCTTTCATTTGAGATCTCCATTTGATTTTCATCGGGTTCTATCCGTTGGTAAAATTATTGGTATCTTTCATTTCATAGCCCCATTTGCTCACATCAGGCTGTACTATCTAGTGCATGGCTATATATTCTCCAGGGAACTATCTCATTTATTAGAAGTTTTAAGTCATCGTCTTTTACTTTTCAAGGTTCATATAACCGTAGTAAGGAATTTGTAAATTAAAAGAATTTATCCATGTACTCGAGGTCCTAGGTTCGATTTTCCTCCCTTCAACATCGCTTGTGTAAAAAAAATAATTCATATAAGCATATACGGTGTTTCTACCCTAACCTAAACCGTCTTTGGATGTTGAACAAAATCAAGGAGATTTTCCTATAGTTTCTATCATCAATTTGGTATTTTGTAGGAATTAACAAGGTATAGATCCTTTTTGTTTATGACTATTCTTACGCTTGGGAATCAACAAGGATTAAAGGATTAAAACAAGCTGAATCGAAAATTGTAAGGGACTTGAAGCTCAGGTGCTTAAGAACATTTATTCCCACACTCGATGTTTTGTGTTCGATATATTCATATGGCAATCCCATGTCAGCAAAGCTAACTCAACAGAATTAGTTGAGGAGACAAAAATTGTTAAGAGTAAGTTATGCTAAGTTGAGACAATTAAGCTAGTATAAAAGCTGAAATGTATTGTGCAATCATTTAACAATTCTAAAATACAAAGCTCATTTCTCTAAATGAGGGCCAGCAGCATGTTGCATTATCAGAGGTATATATGTAAAACTCCGCTTTACAAGTTTGAAGGCGAGGATTTAGATTATTGTTCCTGGGGGGAATCACGTACGTCTGCAATGACACAATATCAGACTCGTTCAAGAATCTTATAAACCATGCATGCATCGGACACCCAATGATGTTTAGATGATGCAGAAGGTAATTAATTAATTAATTATATGTCGACAATGATAAAGATTTAGATTGTTCAAACGTATTAACATATATTATCTTATAATCTAGAAGATACAAGCTTACGTTTTACAGGCACTGCTGCCTTTAGAGTGTCAACTCCTGAAGTTGTATAATGTAATTAACCAAAAGGATCATCAGTTGCCATGCATATCCTTCTTGTGAGTACAAGTCATGGATTGAGTTTCTTTCTTTCTTTCTTTTTTTCCTCTTGTAAATCATACAAGTCATGGATATATATATACACATAAAGCTTCATCGGTTGATGAATCCTCAAATTTGAGGGACACCCTTGTAGGCCTATTCCACATTGCATTTCAAATCCGAACTGTCTATGTTTAGGATATTCATTCAAAGATCATTTCTACGAAAAATCACTTGAATCCGAAATCATTTGACCACTCAATTAATAGTTGTCATCTTAATGTTCCTTATATGAGTATCTAAAACTTGATGGTTTTGCCAATGGTTCCTAGCCTAGTGATAAAGGGCCTTAACTTGCAGACCAGTGGTCTTCGAACTTTCGTGGCACTTTGGAAATGTGTGTGAGAAAAAACCCCCCTCCCCTAATATTGCTTGTATAAAAAATTTATATAACTTTTTTTAAAGTTTTAATTATATGTTTTAAGATGAGTCACAATAATGAGATTATTATTTTTCTTAAAATGAGGACATCCTTCATGCTACTCGTTCGAAGTAGGGATGGCAGAAATCCCCGCGGGAGCGGGTCCCCTTCGGGTCCTCGATTCTAAAGAAGGGAGATTTCGGAGCAAAACGGGTATCGGGTATGGGGAGGGGATGGTATTGGCGTCCCTGTCCTCGAACCTGACCCAAAAATATATATGTTTATATTCAAATAAATAAATGTATAATTATAATATTTATGTTTAACCTTAAGTTAACCTCCCTCTCCTAATTCTTCCTAATATATGCTTATAATTATAATATTTGTGCTTACTTTTTATTAAGTTGTAGACTTATTTATTTTTGTGAGATTCCAAAATTTGTAAGATGATCATGATGAAGATTTGGATTATATATATATGTTTTGTCAAATTGAATTGATGTGATTTTGAATAGTTGAGTTGAATTTTATAGTTAATTTGGATGTGTTGAATGAAAATTTAATATGAAACTTAATGTTAAAATGTATGATAAATATTTTTTTTTGCAAAAAAAATCTGGGATTCGGGGCGGGTATGGGTATAGTCCCCCGGCGGGGACGAGTACGGGGATTCTCCGAAACCTATTAAACGGGGATAGGTTCGGGTACGGGGGCGGGGATAGAGAGTGGGAACAGGAATGGTATTGTCGTAGCCGGCCCCTACCCGACCGGTTGCCATCCCTAGTCCGAAGCCTCCACTAAGTCATGCCGTCAAAATTGACTGAAATGTAGTAAACATTGTTTTACTGTGAATTATGATGGTTATTAAGCTAAAATTCTGAATGTCCCAATCAAAACATTTTTGGCACCTTGTATGTAGCATCTTTTGACGCAGGGGGTTTTAACCCCATAGCCTGCACCGCACGGTTGCACCACAAAGTTTCTTGCATGTTTTTACTGTGGAAACAATATTGATGATATCATCCATGTGAATGAAGGTTCGTGAAAATACCCCTTTGATGGTCTTTGGGTTTTATACATCTGTACGTGGTAAAGGTCAGTTTAACCGTGTGGCACACAGTTTTTACTTTATTGGACGAGATCTTGAATTGGGAACGAGGATATTATTGAATGAAAAAATAAATTAAAACTGAACATGTTTTTTTACCTAAACTAAGAAGAAAGCAATCTGACACAAGGCCATTTCACAGGGGGAAATTCTCTCTTGTTTAGGTCACAAGCCCAAGTGCTTGTAAATGAGATATTAAGTCTACACTAGAAAAACATATATTTTATCACTCGTACGTACGTATATATAATTTGTCTGAATGACGTTCTTGTCACCTCTCTAATAGATGGAATCCACCAATATAATGATTCTCTCTCACCTCTATTGGAGATGTGGTACACAATATGATCTATAAATGTGATATCTATAGCATTTCCCTTTTGAATCGTATTTTTGTACTTCAAGAAATCAAGTTATGATCACGAGTAAATTGTTTAATAATACATTTATTTTCCATCATGAAAGAAGTTCCAAATTCGAATGCCTTCTTCCTTAGAAATAAAAAAAAAGCTTGTGGCCCTAGCAAATATGAATCCTGTAGCTAGCAGCATTGATTTCATGGCCTGCAAAATCATGTAGCTATATAGGGCCCCTCCAAGAATCCAAGTGATCCTAAATATATAGGCCTCTATTTCCTATTGGTTACTCAGAAACCTAAATAGTGAATTTAAATCTACCAAAAGTATGTGATGTCTCCCAGTGAGGAAATGCTATGATGTACCTCAACCATCTCTGAAGATATTGTTTGCCTATTTTAACAAGTTGTGACAATAGCTTATGATGCATCATCATCCAGGAAGTGTGGCATCGATTAGTCTACGGTCCCAGTAGCACCTGATCAGATGAATTTAAGGGCAAAGAATTTGATTGATGGGTCCAAACTACATGATCACTCTCATCATCACTCACTCTGTGCATCGATCTCATGGACGGTCAGGATTTCTGTGTGATGATTATTGATTAGGATACAATTAATAATGATGTCCAATGAACTAATTCAATAAGAATTGCCAAAAACATTAAATTAGAGGCATAGATGTGTATGTGGAGAGTGATATTAAGGGTGGCAATTTCCGACACAACCCGATGAATAGTTTCAAATCTTAAAAGGAGAAGCTAAATGTGCATTAAGTTAGGACAAACATATCATCTCTGTTTGTTATTTTTTTTGTCCGAAGTTATGAGATAGATATGGGCGATGATGCATCTCATCCTTTCTTACCTAGTCGCTTCAAAAAATTTATAGCAATATAATTAAGCTACTCCATATAGATGTATCTCATAATTCTGTATTGATCATGATTTTTTAATAAATATTGGTGAATATTTTTAATTGAAAAATTTGACGAGTTAATGCAAAAAGAAATATCTTTAAATTTTTGAGGTTAAAGGGCACGTAATGAGTTAGAATTAGAATAAATTTAGAGAGTTCATACCCCTTCATGTTACGTAACCAGAAATAGAAATTTGGAAAAACATACTTATTGTTTTTCACATACGAAAAACGCGGCTTGTTCATAATGCCCTTTAGAAAAGATAATAATATACATATATATATATATATTGATCAATTTTGAAGTTCAAACCAAGTTATATTTATGTAGCTATTACTTGGGGAGGGGCTCTGGCCATCACTTCAATTGCCTCCTGTTTTGTATCTACTTATTAGCGAAAAGACTTTGGATGCTTTTAAGAGAGAAGAGACGTATGAGTGAGGTTAATGATGAAATGGGGGTGCCAACCTATATGAGATAGAAAGTTAGAAAGTTCGATTTTTTTCTAATCAGCTAGCTAATTGACATTTATAGGAGTTAGAAAAACTGATGGTTGAACGTTGTCTCTCATTTTGACTAAAAATCATCACTCAATAAAATAATCTTTTTTCCAGTGTACTACGCTGTCCAAACCCTCAACACCATTATTAAGGCATAAGCACCTCCCAAACCAATGTCCATTTTAAAAGGTGAGACCTTTGGTTCCTCAAAAGAGCTTTAGGGATATCCAAGAGATCAAAGGCCAGACGTCTCTTTCTGTGTGTTTGAGAGAGAGAGAGAGAGAGAGAGAGAGAGAGAGAGATGGGTAGGGCTCCTTGTTGTGACAAGGCAAATGTGAAGAAGGGGCCATGGTCACCAGAAGAAGACTCAAAGCTGAAGGAGTACATAGAGAAGCAAGGGACTGGTGGGAATTGGATTGCTCTTCCACAGAAAGCTGGTAAGGTTACTTAATTCAAGCTCAAAATTATCTAATAATGGAAATATGTGTTTCCATCTCTCTCTCTCTCTCTCTCTCTCTCTCTCTCTCTCTCCTGTTTATATGTATCTGCTTGTTTGTTTATGTTTGGGTTGATTTGAGTGTGGATCAGGTCTGAAGAGATGTGGGAAAAGCTGCAGATTGAGGTGGCTTAACTACCTGAGGCCAAACATCAAACATGGAGAATTCTCTGATGAGGAAGACAGAATAATATGCAGCCTCTTTGCTAGCATTGGAAGCAGGTACTACTCTAGCTCTACGCAATTATATTTCTTTTTCTTCTTTATTACCTAATTTCCATAGGTATAATAGAGTCTACCTCTTTTTCCTTATTTATCATCTCCTATCATGAAAATTGCTGATGAAATCTATCCAAAAATGAGTAACAAAGAACAGAAAAGAGGAAAGAGAAAAGACAAACATGAACTCATGTTTTTTTGTTTTCCTTATTTTATGTTGTAAAAAAACCCTTCATTTATCAAGAATCTGCTATATTTGGATAATTTCCCTGCATGCATGCCAAGTTTTGGATCTAACATCCACACCCACTTACAGCTGTTAAGGGAAAGCCAGAACAGGTTTCTGCTTCTTCTGGAACTTAATCATAATTTATGTGTAATTAACAATTAATTATATGCAGGTGGTCAATTATAGCTGCTCAGCTGCCAGGCAGGACTGACAATGATATCAAGAACTATTGGAACACCAAGCTCAAGAAGAAGCTCATGGGGATGCACATGGCTCCTCCATCTCATCATCATCACCATCATCAGAGAAATTCATTAAAACCTCCCCCATTTCCTTCTTCCTCTCATCACAATTACCAAAACCAACCACTAATCCCATCTCAACCTCTCTCATCACTGTTCAAAGACCTTAGCAGTACTTATAATAGATCTTTCTCATCAGGCTTTGAAATTCCACATCTTTCCATGACATCCAATAATTTTTCAAACACTACCACCAACTCCTCTCTTTTCCCAACCCAAGAGTGCCTGGTGGGTTCCATGCAGTATAATAATTACCCTGTGAAGAAAAATAGTAATCAAAATAACCTCCTCATGTTTGGAAGTGAAGGAAGTTGCAGCACTTCATCTGATGGGAGCTGTAATCAGATCAGCTATGACAGAGAGAGCAACATCAAACAAGAAGAAATGGTTTTCCAGAGTTTTGATCAAGATCAGAATAATCAGCGGTTCATGATGCTCAACTATGGTAACAACAACAGTGGTTGTAGTACTGGATCAGCAGGTCATGATCATCACCATGTGATCAACCAATGGTGTGAGAGGCCAGATGGGTTTGATCATCTTGGAGCAGAAAACACATTAGGGTACTGTGATCTAGAAGATGTTAAACAGTTGATAAGTGGTGGGAATAATCTTAATATTAGTGTTAATGGGTCTAAGTCTAACAGCCTCTTTTCCAATGTCGATGAAAACAAGACAGAAGAGAAGGTCATGTATTTCTACTGAGAACTGAAATGCTAGTAATTGAGTACTGACTGACTGCTGTTAAGTAAAATGATCAGAAAGATTTGATGGGGTATGGGGTGGTGGGGGAGATTTCAGGAAAGAAAAAAAAGAAAAAAAGAAAGAAAGAAAGATTGACTCAGTTTCTTCCCTAGGGGTCTATATGTGTTCTGAACTTTGAAAAAGTACCACTTCTGATGATATCTGAAATGAAACATTTCTTTTTTTGACAGTACATGGTAAAAGCTTCTTTTAATTTTGTGCATTTCTTTTTGGGAGGTGATTGATGATGATGATGATGATGGTGGTGATGATGTTATGTTGTTGTTGTACGGTCCTTCACTGCAACTTCATTTCTGAAATTGTTTATTTTATTTTTAAAGTGTTATGAAAACTAGAGAGAACTTGTTCTCGCCAAGATAAGAACAAGAATCTTTATGTAAAAATAAACCAAGCATGCAACGTTTGCTTTGTTAATATTTTATTAGTTTCCATTTTTATAATTTGTTAGCGGTACCCTAAAGCCAATAGGTCTAGTACGCCTACTTTAAATGACAAAACTACCCTACTTGCCACTAGTTTTTCACATGCTTACCATCCTTGAAACTACTATAGTCAAATCATTCGTCTTCGAAAGTCAAGATGACCCACTTTACCTCATTGACTAACATTTTGCATCTCACTTACCCTCTCTAGTCTTTCATCAAGTCGACATTGGATACCTGTTCTTGACGTGGCCCTCTAATTTTACGCCATGTAAGTTTATAAGAGGCTCGACAGTAGGTGAAAATTAAGTCGCCAAACATCAGTCAAGATGAGTTATATATTATAAGTTCGAGAGCGTAATGTGGGATTCAAATGCAATAAGGGGTAATTTTGGTATTTGGAGTATGTGCATTACTGTTGCTTGGTAGTAAGGTTAATCAGTCGGAATCTTTTATATACAAATGAAGCAGGTCAGACTCAAGATGGGAACTTGCTTACCAGAAAATGAAAGACAAAAACATGATGCTGGAAATTTTGGAGTTTTGCAAAGGCTTCAACTTTAAAATATGGCTTTTCATTTTTAATACATGATCTCAGTACACTCTCGATAAACGACATGTCTCACATTAAATTTAGCAAGATGGTTAAAAACCCAAAGGCCATGGAAGTATTTATATATATAAATTAATATGTGTTGATCAATGCACAACTGATTGTCTGTATACAAAATTTAATTAAATCGGTGAGGCGGGCAAGGGCATGCTATAATGATAACAAGGGGGTGCCTGCAGGAACAGTAGAATTATTTGATTAGACTACTCATTTGGGGAGGCAATATTTGTTCATGGAGGTTCATTGAAATAAAATTGTTTTTTTCTTTCTTTCTTTCCATTGAAATAATTAAATAATTAAATCTTTAATCCTGAAATCTTAACTCTAAACTCGAAAATAATCAATCGTGAGCATCCTGTTTTAACGAAAACTTGTTTCATATTAATAATTACGAAGTTTTATCTAGTTGCGGATCCACATAGGGGCAAGGGGGTTCAATTGACCCCTGCAAACCCAAAATCCACCATAGGAGTTCAAGAACTTGACCCCTGCAAATTGCCCATAAGGTGTTTGATGAAATGCCCCAAAGAGGAAGCAGCCACAGCCCACAGCCAAAGGAGAGAGCCTTGTTGCGTGTGCACGCAGTGCTCAACGCTCTGTGCTCATTTTTTTTTTCCTGATGTCAAGACAACGTCGTTCCACTTAAGTTTATTTTTTATTTTTTATTTTTATAAACCTGGCCAAAACAACGTTGTTTTGGCTCAGGTGTTTTTTTTTATAAAAAAAAATCTCTTCTGCTGCTCGATAAAACAGAGGGGGAATGAGATTTTAACAAAAACTTGTTTCATATTAATAATTACGAAGTTTTACCACTCTATTTTACGTTATTGTTATTTTTCTTTTAGAAACCCATACTATTTTTTTTTTATCGCTTAAGAGAAGTGGGAATTGAATTTAAGACTTCAGTTACATAAGTAAATGCTCTAAACCCATTCCCTTGCATTATTGTTAATTCTCTTTCATAATCCATTATTATGCTTATGCTCAAAGGCAACACATTTCAAGGACGTCCACTCTTCCATCAAACTTTAAGCTCACTACAGACCATATATATAAGTTGAGGTCAATTTCTTGTAAGATAATGGAATTGAAATTAGAGGTGACAATTCATGTTGATGAGTCGCATTTGAATTATGTTGACAGATTGGCCGCGAATATGCATATGAATATGATATGAATCTACAAGCAAGTATGCATTTATGGCATGTTTATCCAACGGTAGCAAACGACGAAAACATAAGCAAGTCACGTTACTTAGCCAATGTAATGAAGTAGTTGCCTTGATAATGTGACACCACCAATTGTGAATTCAACCCCCTTAACCCTTAGAAACAACGTACAGAACGTCTAATTCAAATGATTAAGAGCAGTTATCTATACATCTCAACTTCTATATTCAAAACGCAGAAACTCATGGTTGAAAATCAAAATCTTTTTTATGATAATGAAAATGGTAGTGATTGTATGGTGGAGAAACAAAATTGTAGCCAGCAGCACAGTTGAATGTAGACAATGTATTTTATTGAAGTGACAGGGAATCCCTATCGGGAAGCAGTCCTAAAGCACTCCAAAATTACATGATATGCTGCACAATATCTCTGTCAGTGCATACGCCCAGATTTTTATTAGAGTGGGGGCAGTTGCCGGGAGGCCAATTTGTCTCTGCATCCTTGAAATTTTGTTTCATTTTAATTATATATTCAACCATTTTGTCAATTTTTTTTCAGTAAAATATGAACAATCCAATAAAATCTCACCACTTATAGAAACTAAATTATTTGGAAATCTGCATCTACTTCAGTTTTAAATTAAATAATTGCGGTTCCACTTGCCAGTTTAGAGTTTTTTTATTTAAAAAAAATTATAATAATTTTCCAACTTGATTTTATTTTAAAAATAATGAGGGAAAAGGTTTTCTAGGAATGTCTTTTCTAGTGAAGTGTAAGGGTCAAAAGGTGTGGAACCTACTGACAGTCTGACACCCAAATATTTTAAGTTCAAACGTTTTTTTTAAAATAAAAAAATTTGTGTTTAATTATTTAGAAAGAGCCCAACACAATACAGATATTTTCTTGTTATTTATAATGTAATTGTCCAGTGAGTGGAATTTGCTTGACCATTGTCCGTGACCTTGTTGATTTTAGGTAGTCTTCGACTTTAGCTATTTGTGTCACACTTTTTTCCAAAGAAGCTGTAAAAGTTGATCTTTGAGTACCAACATACCTACTCTAAGGATAAAACCCTTGAATATCATCATAGCCGTTGGGATAAAGATTAATTCATACTTATTCGGAAACAGTTGACTTTAACCACAAAGGATAAACCCTTAAATACCATCATATCCGTTGTGCCCCAATAAACTCTTCAATTCAATTAATGCAATATTTGTTACTTTAGCATTTTCTATCAATGCGTTTGGATGATGGAATTTAAAATGACGGAAATTAATGTTCTAGAATTTGTAAAGTTTCTTGTTTGGGTGACGGATTTAAAACACGGAATTTAATCTTTATTTGTAAAGTTATCTTTTTTTAAAACACAATCTCTCTTGGGATTTTAGAAATAATGACTTTTAGATAGAATTTAAAGTTGAGATTTATGATCTCCAAATTCCATGTTTTTTCCCACGCGGAATTTCTAAATTTCTATGTTTTTTTTATCCAAACCGGGAATTGGTTCATGTCAATTTAGAAATTCTGAGTTTTGTTAAAATCCCAAGTTTATTTCCCTCATCCAAACGCACCATTTCTCTAAAAACAAGTGAATAGGATTTAGCATTTTCAATGTAGGTTTTTTCTTCTAAAATAAAATAAATAGTTTCAAGAGCTACGATCAACTTGTCATTTCTGAAGAGAGAAATAAGTTGCAGCTTTGGGTGACTGAGTTTGACAAGTCTGTTGGAGAGAGCTTGGCTGATGAGACTCACCTATTTTAACATTCCAAAACTATTGAAGAGGTTGTTAGAGATGCTTTTATCACTTTCGTCCTATTGTTTCTATATAATATATCCATTATTGTTTTTACTTGTTTTGCATAAAGCAAATCCAATATATTACTATTGTAAGAAAACGGTACCTTGACTTTTGATGGAGTTGCAATGATTCAAGGCCCCGAGAACGCTTCATGAAGTTTTTCTTTAATGTCACATTTAGTGCTTATTATTGAATTGGATAACTCGCTAAAGTTCAACAACAATTGTAGGATAATTTCCTTCTTGAAAGTTAAGGAACTAGGGTATATATTATATAATTCACATTTCCAACCGGCAGTATGATAATTTCCTTCGTGAAAGTTATTTGACATTTTTTTTATTATATCCGCAAGGCCCCTCCATATGTAACATTTTAGGAATACACAGAGAGATATTTCACAATAAACTACCTCAAAATCAAGAGTGACAACTGAGTCGTTTGGGGTCCGCAATGCCTCTCTACTTGAATGCTTCACTTTTCGTTGAGATAAACATCAGAAACCTAAACACTTCACTTTATATAGAAAAAAATAGTTAACGGTTATGGTAAAAAAAATAATAAATTATCGGGGAGCCTGCCCAAACGTCATCAGTTTCTATCCCGGTACGGCGCCGGGGCGATCCCCTTAGGTGAAAACTAAGTAAACAAGCAATATGAATTATAGTGTATAGAGATTATTATACGCAATACAGAGTGTGCCCCTACGGTGGCTACATCTAAATAACTGCTGGGTCACTTTTCAACCGAAGCTACTGAAATTCTGGCTGCAAGCTTCACCAAAAGCTAGCAATTTTATAATTACTGGGAAATGTTGTTATGATGAGAGTGCGTTTCATTTATACTGGGAGTCTGGGAGCTCATTCCCTATGTTTAGTTAGAATTGGTACCCATAAAAACAAATGTTTCGGTCAAAAAATTATAAATTTGATTGCTTTAGAGCATCCGCAATCATGCTCTCTATTTCTTAGCTAAGGATTTAGCTAAAAACACCAAAAAGCTATTTTAGGAGCTCATCTCTTTCTACGATGGGATATTATCTTGCCGATGGTATATATCCACCATGGTCAACATTTGTTAAAACAATTCCATCACCACAAGGAAATAAGAAAAATCTATTTGCTACAAGTCAAGAGGCTGCAAGGAAGGATGTAGAGCGAGCTTTTGGTGTTCTCCAAGCACGTTTTGCGATTGTGCGTGGACCGGCACGAATTTGGGATCAAGATATGCTTAATGATATTATGACTGCATGCATAATAATGCATAACATGATAATTGAGGATGAGCGAAATTCTGAAGATTTTGACTATAACTATGATAGAGTGGATGAGATTCCGCTTATATCAGTGTCACATGATCGTACACCTGAGTTGCTTGACTTCATTCAAGCCCATTATCGTATTAGAGATAGAGAGATTCATTCCCAACTGCAATTAGATTTTATTGAACACTTGTGGCAGCTGCATGCGGGAGACTAAGAAACTAGTAATTTTAATTTATATTATTACTATGTAATTTGAAAGGAATTAATTAGATCTTACTATGATTGTTGTGTTTTGCAAAGCACCTACAGCTACGGCAAAGAATAGAAAAGATGGTGCATGTAGAAAGGTGATTAAAAATATAAAATGCAGAAAAAAGATGATAAAATTAAAGACATCATTAAATAAATGTTTAAAATAATAATAAAATATGGTAGTATTTAATTATAGGGAGTCATTAGGAGCCCTTTCTCTCTCCTCAGATTTAGGAGCTCCTAGAGGTCTCCCTATTTTAGGAGCTGAATAGGGAGCATGGTTGGAGGTGGGTTTTTTCAATTCCTCCCTAAATTTTAGCTAAGGAGGTGATTTAGGGAGCCCATTGCGGATGCTCTTAGTAATGATTAGTATGGATGGCTTTGGAGATCTAAGACTTGCAAAAGTAAGAAAGTTTGAACAACGCATTGTGATAAGAAAGACCAAGTTTGTACTGAACAGCAGTCGAGTCGACAACAGACAAAAGTAACTCGTACCAAGTACCAAGTACCAACTTACAGAATACAAAACTACACAAACACTAGAGGTAAGTGAAAAATAAAACACGTAAGAAAATCGCCAAACAAGTCCATTTACGAGACTCGTATCTGAACTATGGACATATAGGAAAACCAGAAATGATGTCCGACTGTAAGTTGCCACCATGGTTCACCTGCACGATATCTAATCCATTCAAATTCTGATTACAACTATGGAAGTCTCTAACCTTCAGCATCAATACAAGAAATGCAAGGGGCTAATATGAATGAAAAAAGACCAAAATCAAAATAAACAAAAAGCAGCACCCAGAGAGTAATTACAAATGTAACTGATTGATGACTGGAAAACACAAGCTAGAGCAACTAATTAATAACTGATTAAGCTTGCGATACACATGATGTGGGATGTGGAAGGCAATCAAACCAAGTGTTAGATAACAGCATTGTCACAATCAATTGACAGCAAGCATAAGAAAACTGAGACTAACCTGAAGAAAGGGTGCCATGACCTCACGAAGCACCACCTGTAATGCTTCCTATCGTTTTAAGGTCAAAGATTTCAACCCAATAACCATCAGGATCCTTAATGAATGCTATCCCTTTCATCTTTCCTGCAATCAACATCACAAAATTAAGGAACCGAGAATCGGTAATTACTGAAACCAAACTAAAACTAACTTTTCACAATTATTTTTTCTTTAAATACAAGGAGGTAAAATTGCGAATTACAGGAAAACAAACTCCCACTGTGAGAATAAAAAATACTGGTCTTGGTCATCCAAGATCCTCCCCAAGAAAGAAAACACACATGAATTTGCTCATTCCTTATCTTCACGACAGTTTGGGAGAGCAAGATTGAACTAAAAGATACCGCTGGTGCATATATGAGCACAACTAAATAGACACATACATGTATACGACCATAGTGTTCCATATAAGCATATATGAGCACACACCTAAATAAACACATACATGCATACAACCATAGTGTTCCATATGAGCATATATGAGCACATGCCTAAATATACACATACAAGCATAAAACCATATTGTTCACTAGTAATGGAAACCTCAACAACAGCAAAAATCCAGCTTATTCTTTGGAAGCCAGAACAGAGAGCGAAAGATTATAATTATAGAGACCAAGGTGCTGTTATTAAGCTTGCTAAATGGGCACAAGGAGCTGGAATGAAAATCCATCAAACTACAAAAACCAAGAACGAGGCTATCAATTGCGCATGACAGTGACTTCGGTATCAGGAAAAAATATTAATTTGTTGAAGGATGTATTTGCAATGTTCAAGTTGGCATTAGAGACACAGAATAATGTCAAAAACAGTTCAAAATGTCAATCATCAATAGTAATTTTTCACAATCTGAGTATAGGCCATCAGACCACATTCACACACCAGCAGACCTCATTAACTGCTTAGATATCCCGATTGGACAGGGTACTTTTGGTTAACTAATGAAGATAGCATATTGATTAAAGGGAATGGCGCTGCCAATTCAGGGAAATTCACCATCTATTGTTTAATTGAAACCATCTTCCATCACTTATAAATAACCTATTTATACAACAGGATCAATCCTACAGACTGATATTGAGATTTATCACTCTACTTATACAAAAACGAAGCAAATGTATCCCAATCAATCCCCATTATAAATGCCAATGTTCAATGATGAGACATCTCGTAAATCACAATAGGTTCAACAATATGGATGTTCTTACCGTCATCTGGCTTTTTCACAAACTCCACCCCGAGACGTTCAAATCTCTCACATGCCTTGTAAGTATCATCAACGGTGACACCAATGTGTCCTGAGTAACAAAATTAGACGGTTAGGCCAGCCAGTGTGCCAGATTCTGAGAATCGCTAGGTATAAACTAAGATATGTACATGCTTAATCATTACAGATGCATTAGACATCAGGCAAAGCTACAGGGACAAATGTAAATGATTGGTAATATTCAAATTATTGACATTTGCAGAAATACATGATTTTTCTTAAGTACTTAAATCATTTCCAACCCCCCTCCCCCCCCAATGCACAAGAATACCATCCCATACAATTTGCATTGGTTGGCTATGCTGTCTTGTTATTTTAAAATGGTATTGAAAGTACAGATTCCTGTAAGTGAATCAACCATACCTAATAGTTCGGTCAGTTAAGGAGTGGAAGCCCCCATATCTTTGGTATAATAATATCATACAAATCTTTTACCCAAATAGGCTAAAGTGTACAAACACTATACATATAATGATACACACTAAATGCAATACAATGAATACACTCTTCCCTAAAATTTTGTTTATGCTTGAAAGAAATGTAGCCTTTTTTTTCTTATCGAAGTAAGCATTTGGAGTGTTTCAAAATTTATCGTTCAGGACAAGTCAAAACAAATTATTCAATCAATAATACTGACTTTCTTGGAACCATCCATACTTGCCACATAAGAAGACAAGACATCATGTGTGGCATATGGCATCAAATGGTCTAGTAAATCAAACTCTAAGTAAAGGAAGAAACAAATGCATCAAAAAACGCCGTATGTTTTGACATATTTATAGGACAACTTAAATACCAAAGCCTCGAGGCTCCGAATTCCCATTGTGATATCCTTTGAATTCTGGATCACTTTCAGTACCCCAATTACTGTAAAAGGTAAGCGATTGTCAGATATCACATTGGACAGAACATGTGCCAAAAAAGAAAAAGAGAAGAGCATGTAGGTGAATTAAAAGAAACTCACTGTGTTAACTCAATTGTAGCCTTCTGGCCAAAGGTCCAAACTGTTCTATCAGTCGGGTTAGTTGGAGCTGATGCAGGATCCTATTCCAGTAAAAGATAAAAGAATTAAATGTCTCTGTTAACGGGGAAATTTTTAGAAACATAATCCCAACCATGACTGTAAAATCAAACAATGAATTTGGTAAAAATTTTGTTATTGTAGAAAGGATATTATGAATTTTACCTCATAGCCCAAAAAGTACAGACTAAACTTCATTTCTGGAAAGTCCAGCCTCTTAAGCAGCCTGAAAAATAGAAGAAATCACCATCAACTTCACTCAAACAGTCATTTTTGGACAAGATCTCTACTCACAGAATCTCTTAGCCATTGTAAAGTGCATGCATGCATGTGCACGTGCACACTAATACGCAAAACAATCTAACTGCATGCAATATTTACTGCAGACGCATATATCTCATGATAACACAAGACGATCCAATTGAATCATAAATTGGTCCAAAATTTGACTTAGTATGCATGCATAGTCCTAATAAATTCAAAGAGACCGTGCAACAAGTCAACATCAAGAGTTACATGTAATCTTTTAAAACATTAATGAAAGATGTTATAAGGCAAAACAGGCATGAAAAACACGTATGGTGTTACAGAGACTCAAAGGTACACACACTTCTTGGCCAAAATTGAAATAAGAACTAACACCCTAAATGTCAAGTGACGCATCTACAAGACTATTATATGCTCAAACAGATTTACAAATTACTTCTATGCTCATATAGGACCTCCTTTGTTGCACAGGGATCGTTTAGCACCTATGTGCTCCGAGCTGGTCATATAACTTAAGAAAAGCACAATCTACTGACTCATTAAAGTCCATCACTTAAAAAATATAACAAAAACTAAACACGTGACTATTTTCTCCTGCCATTCGAAATTGAGCCTATGAACATCCGACATATTACTAACCATAAGTCTATTGGTAAATCCCAAGAAAGCACGTAGGGATTTAACATGCCCACCTGTTCTTCCCTTTATCCTTTTTTTCTAAGTTCTAGTAATAATAGAGACAGCCAATGCACCCAAATTATAAACCACCAGATATTAATCAATGTCGCCAATCATACAAAAAACGCAAAATCTTAATGAACCAAAACCTTCAACTTTTTGAGGAAAGAAAGATTTGCTCGATTTAAATAAAGGAAATGTTCATATCAATTAATACAAACCGAGCACCTATACTATTTTCCACCCAAACAGCACACGAAATATAACAACAAAGAAAATTAGAGAAGAATTTTCGAAACCCATTAAAAAAAAACTTACGACATGCCCAACACACGTGAATAAAAGTCAAGACTGGATTTAGGGTCCTTAATCCGAAACATCTGCAACCAAATTACAGAAATAAATTATCGCTAAAGTAAAATCAAAATGCAGAGCAAATCTCATAGCAGAAAATAAAATACATATTTGTGACAAAGGTGAATGCTTACAGTTTGTTGCATGAAGTAACTCTTAGTGGCTTCATCTGGGGTGGCGTGGAGGCCCGGATTGTTGGCGGGTAATTCATTCGGCTCGGACGCCATTGACAACAAGCGGAACCCGTATTTCGGAGCCTGTAAGAGACATACAAGTAAGTATAAGATCAAATGAGAAATTTGGGAGATTATCGAAGAGAAAAATCGCGAAGGTTATATCGTGTATGGTTGAATTGGACCTTTGGTTTAGTGAGAAAAAATGGGGTTGTATGTGGAAACGACGGAGAGGGTTTTAGGGAGAATCGGATTAGGGAAAAGCGAGATAGGGCGGTTGTGATTGAAGCAGAAGAAGCCATGGAGGTTTTCTGTGAGCGAGAGAGAGTATTTACCTTGTGGGAGAAATGAAAGCAGAGGAGGGCAGTTGCCGTCTGTTTGCCTTCTGATTTGGAAGTTTTCTTACATTCCGAGCGGCTATACTGCAGTCTTTTTTTATTTTTTATTTTTAAAAAATTAGTATAGCCGCGCGGCTATACTTTTTAAATATAAAAAAAATTAGTATAGCCCCGCGGCAGTACTGCGGCAAACTTGTTTTTTAATAAATAGGATAGCCGAGTGGCTATACTCTTTCTAAATATATATTGTGATCCTTTTTAAAAAAAAATGTTTTCCCCGATTTTGTTTTATTGATAAGAGTAGTTTAGAACATTATCTATTACTATTAGGCCATTACCCAAGTATCTATGGTCCCCTTTTGATTTTTTACTTTTTCAAAGTTATTACCCGTATAAACAATTTAGCATTTTCACGTTTAATTTTTGTATTATACACATACGTACGTATTTTTCAATAATACACTCCTTTTCTATACACATGTTAAAGACTCGATAAAATACATATTTTTTAAAAAGTAAACGTCCAATACTCATATTGTACACGTACACACGAATTTTTTTATGTTTAGTACATGTGTTTTTTACAAAATTTTCTATAATACACACAAAATTCACGCATTATACACATAATTTTCACATAATATTGAATAAAAATAATATATATTAAGTAATTTAAATAAATTATTTTAAAATATTATATAGTGGCCGAACTTTTCAGTTGTAATTTGCAAAATTTTGTCGAACAAAACACGTACGTATTTTGTTTGTATTTTTTCCATTTAGTACTTTACTAACTATGAAAGAATGTGAGAGGCTAAGATTACTTTGTACTTGTTGTAACAAAAATGCAAACAAAGATTTATGGGTATAGTAATAAGAGAGGTGGTAGTATTCTACATGTAAAGTGTTGTTTGAAAACTGAAGCAATTACCAAGAACACTCCATCTCAGCATGCAATTCTCTACGAAAAATAATGCGTGCAATAATAGAATTTAGTAGCACTCAAGAGAAGGAGTTAAATTACAGGCAAACATTCCCACAAAAAAGAAGAAGAAAAAATTGAACTCTCAGATTGATTTATTGTGAATTTTCTCTCTCTTGAATATTTACCAAAAGAACAAAAAACATAATCATGGAAAGAGGTGATGCAAGCACCCGAGCTAGAGCTCTACACATAATATTTCAAGAGATACAGACAAAATCCCATTTAGGATTAGCATCCACAAACAACGTGTGAGGCCAAATTTGAAAAGGAATAGATGGAATAGGATGATGGATGGAGGAGAGGGAGATAGGGGGGGGAAGGAGGGTGAAACGGGGGAAGGAGAAACAAGGAAAGAAAAGGGAGGAAGAAACAAAGTTAGGGATTTTGAGTCCGTTTAGGGCAATACCAGCAGAAGTGATTCAGTGGTGATAAGGGGAACAAAAATAAAATAAAGCATCTTTCCCCATATTTGAGCAAATACCTCAAGTGCAAATCCGCCGAGTCTCAAAACGGTGATTTTTTATTGGAAAAGGCCAAAGGAATCCTTTACATTTGCATGTCTTTAGTTTGAAAGTTGAGGGGTTTTTCTATCTTTTTAGGAAAAATTTTGGCTTTTTCCAAAAGTGAAATTTTTTGGTGTGGCTAAAACCTAAATTTTCTTTTTTATTCTTCACTCCCATATTTCTCTGTGTGAGGAGAGAGAACAGCTAGTGCTGACGTGGGAAAAAAGGTTTGATGTTTGAAAAGTAGGTCAAATTAGGATTTGGGGATACTGAAGGGTTCTCGTCTCCTTGTTGGTTGGCATACACGTGCACTATATGGCGAAAACCCTATGGTTTCAAACATCATTACAACTCCAGAGTAATCCTAGACTTGTAAATAGATCCGATTTTGATCTAAATCCGGTGCGAATTTGATGTAATTAACAAGATATGAATTGTCACTTTTTTATTTTAATAAATATTTATGATCCGAATTCGATAATTTGTTTTGTTTCTTGGCTTTTCCTTGCTGATTTTTTTTTGGGGTAGTAGGACTATAAGTAGCTTAGATATTCCTTCATTCATTGAACAGTGAAAGAGATGTTATAGGAAGGGACGCAGGATTTTTTTCTATTTTTTGGTTAACCACATAAAAACCCCCAAATTATTTTGCACTTTTTTGGTGCTCTAGTAGTTAACGGTTTTTTTTCCTCACAAAAAGGAGGTTGGTGATAATTTTCAAATTTGTATTTTTTTATTTTAAAACTGAATTTTAAATTTTAAATTAATATATATATATATATATATATATATATATATATATATATATATATATATATATATATATATATATATATATATATATATATATATATATATATATATATATATATATATATATATATATATATATCTTTAGCTCACGTGGCGGCAATGTGTCTTCTTACTAAGGAAAAAAGTGGACCGTCAACGAGATTTACCCTAATGGAAAATGGCCTTGACCTGCAAATTAGTGGTCTCAAGATTCAAATCCTCATGACACCTTGGTAATGTATGTGAGAAACCTCCGTCCTCTTGTAGTTTAGACTATTGCTTGTATTGAAATAAAATAAAAAAGGGTCCTGCATATGACATGTGTCGTCACCTAAGAGTCTTGATGACAATATCGTATTGTCACAATTTCGAAAACTACGTGTATAAGTGTTCAAATTAAAAATACGAATACTGCCAACAGAGATAGCCCAATAGAAAAAAGCCTTGAATTGTAGAACAAAGGTCTTAAGTTCGAACCCATGGCACATTGATAGTGTGTGTGAGAAATCTTATTTCCCTATAATTTAGACTATCGCTTGTACTAGTGAAGAAGTCAGAGTATTTAACTAACCACTTAAAAGTTATACCGAGTATCTATGTGTATTTTAAAGTCGTCAAGTACTATAGGTAATTAATTATGTTTGTTTTGGTCACAACTTACCTAGAAAGCTAATGCTAACTAAGTGGAAAATGACTTTAACTTGCAGATCCAATGGTCACAACAAATTCGAACTTCTATACTACTTTGATAGTGTGTATGTGAACACCCCCTCCCTCTTTATAACTTTGACCAAAAAAAACATTATTTTTTTCAAGGGAAGTTTACAAGAACCCTCTCCACATAGGGAGCACACGAAATTCAAACTTCCTTCATTGGCAGACCTTGACATTTACCAAGAAAGATGTTGACTTTTGGTGCTCCATTCCATTAATTTAGTGTTATCCGAACAAGTTATGACGCATTTCTCAGACAGATCATCTTCCAGCAATTAATATTGTAGTGATCATGCCCTTAGAATATTCAACATGGAGGGAGAGATAAGCTTAACTAATCCACTTGTTTATTTGCAAAACCAAAAACTGAATGAACACTAGCCTCTCTGCATACGCTTCCGCGCTTGTGAGAGGTTTTTTTTTATAAAAAATTTAAATTTATTTGAGAATTAAAAAAGATAATGGGTAGTTGTGTTTTATAAAAATAGGATCCATTATCTGATTTTTCTTTTAATTTTAATATTTTTAATATGAAAAAGTGTGAATTTACCATATTATCCTCATTTAATTAATAATTTCAATTCTTAATGTTTGCATTAACCAAGGGCATTTTTTGGTATTTTGAATGTTTCACCATTCTCTGCCTTTTACTTTATATATAGATATATATAGAAGATGAAAGTCCAAATTCTAGAATTTCCCCAAAGGATTTTTTGTAGAAATGTCATCTGAACTTATACATCAGTTTCAATTTGTCATCTTAAAGAAAAATTTAAGCAAAATGTCACCTTAAGTTTTCAAAATCCATGATTTGTCATCTAACTTTAACATCATCCAATTTTTCATCCATTTTAAAGGTTTTTTTTTAATCTTTCCAATATGTAAACCCCATTTTTTTATATAATTTAAATATAGAGCTATGTAAACCCTCTTGCTTGGAAAGACTAAAATATCCTTCAAAATGAATTGAAAATTAGATAATGTTAAAATCAGGTGACAAATTGAAACTTATGTATAAATTCAAGTGATATTTCTACAAATATCCCTTACCCAAATGATTAGTGGACCCCAGTCTACAAGATGGTGATTGCCCGTTAGTTTTATCTTCAATCATGCTATTGTCCTGTTTTCATACCTAAACCTTCTCATCAATTAGTCGAAAAAAAGGGTAAAAAAAGTACCTCGTCATGTCAGAGAAAGAAGAAAAACAAAAGTTCTTGATCATGCATGACGTGCAAAACCAATTCCCATTGTTTGGCCAAAAAGACTGAGTATCTGCAGAAATCTTAGCCGTTTAATCATATCAAAGGCCTTTGGAACTCAACACACATACGCCACTTCCTCTTTTGTCTTGTTACCTAGTATTCATTTCCGTTAGGTTTCTTTCCAAGTTTCAATCCTTTTGTTTATCCAACCGAAGGAAACGATATTCACTCACCCATTTAGACAACAATCATCAACAGTGCCATAATTTCGATCACTTTTTTTCCTCATCAGACTTATCGCCAAAATCTATACACTTTGATTTGTGTGCTCTGCATCACCACAAACTCTCTGCTATCAATAATAAGAATAAGAGCCTCCAATCATCTTTAACTAAATCTACTGTAAAAATCCTCATCCAAAACTGACATACCCACATACCCAATTGCCCATTTGGATTTCTCTTGCATAGTTTTCAATGGAGAAATCTGGGTATGGCCGTGATGGCATTTTCAGATCTCTTAGGCCACCTCTGGTCTTACCCAGAGACCCAAACCTCTCCATGGTCTCTTTCCTCTTCAGAAACTCCTCTTCTTACTCAAACAAACCTGCCCTCATTGATGCCGAGTCTTCTGAAACCTTGTCCTTCTCTCAGTTCAAGTCCTTGGTCATCAAGGTCACCCATGGCTTACTCCATCTGGGTATTAAGAAAAACGATGTTGTTCTCATTTTTGCTCCAAATTCAATCCAATTCCCCATTTGTTTCCTTGGTATTATTGCAAGTGGTGCCATTGCAACCACTTCCAATCCTCTTTACACTGTCTCAGAGTTGTCCAAGCAAGTGAAAGATTCAAATCCCAAGCTTGTCATAACTGTTCCTGAATTGTTTGAAAAGGTCAAGGATTTCAATCTCCCAGCGGTGATTTTGGGGTCACAGGGTGCTTCCCACATTGCATCAAGGTCAAAGATTCTAACTTTCCATGATTTGGTTGAGTCAGCTGGGTCTGCCTCAGATTTCCCAATGGCCAATATTAAGCAGACTGACACAGCTGCGCTTTTGTACTCTTCTGGTACAACAGGCATGAGCAAAGGGGTAGTTTTGACACATAAGAATTTCATTGCCTCATCTCTTATGTGCACAATGGAACAAGAAATGACTGGAGAAATGCACCACGTGTTTCTTTGTGTTTTGCCAATGTTTCATGTGTTTGGGTTGGCAATTATCACATATTCACAGCTGCAAAAGGGCAATACTGTTGTGTCCATGTCTAGATTTGATCTTCAGAAGATCTTGATGGCTGTTGAGAAGTATAAGGTGACCCATTTGTGGGTTGTGCCTCCTATAGTACTTGCCCTGGCAAAGAACAGTGCGGTTAAAAAGTTTAACCTTTCTTCATTGAGGCATATTGGTTCCGGGGCAGCACCTCTGGGGAAAGAGTTGATGGAGGAGTGTGCCAAAGTTATTCCTCAAGGTTTAATTGCTCAGGTACTTAATCATGCTGGTTCCAATTTTATAACTGTGCATAGTTGGAATGTTTCAGATTTATAATTATTTTTATAGTGTTTGTCTCTGGAATGTGATTGACCCAAATGGCTTTAGACTACAGTTTTATTAATCAAGTGCAATTTTCCAACCTGTGTGAAAGATTGACAAAATTTAAATCTTGAACAGAACATTTGAATTTGGCACAAAGTTAAACATAAGTGACAGAGTTTGGCAACTTATGCCACAATTAAATTGATGTGAACTGTGATAATTGAGTGGTGGTAGAGGTTTTGGCATTTCACTGCCTTCCTCATCAATTAGTCGTTGGTAGTATAAAACTTCTGTTAGAGCATATTGATTGTTAGTGCATATGGTGTAATTGGCAATTTCCTAGCACAAACCTTTGTAACCGTAATTTCAACTTCGTCACTGATTTAGAAGTTTCCTTGTTTCTCAGGGCTATGGTATGACAGAAACCTGTGGAATTGCTTCAGTGGAGAATACGCTAGTAGGGCCTCGGCATACTGGTTCAGCTGGCATGCTTGTTTCAGGAGTTGAATGTCAGATAGTCAGTGTAGACACCCTGAAGCCTCAGCCTCCTAATAAGTTGGGAGAGATATGGGTTAGGGGGCCTAATATGATGAGTGGTAAGTGTTTTTTTCATTTTCTTGTATTTAATAATCATGATGGTCCTGCAAATTCAATTGTCAGAAGAATTTTTACGAGAGGCTAACTCATTTTCGAAGTGGTAACAACTCAACAAAACTTAAGGTACCTAGGTCCTTAATGGGAAATTCTGCAATAGAAAATTTGGTCAAAATTTTTATAGCTTCCAATCAGGATTTGATGACAAGTCTGAGAATTTGAACTTGTAAGTGTCAAAGAAAACCTTTTCCCCTTGAGACAGGTGTGATTAACAGTCAGTGCGCAGTAGAAAACTCAAATAGGTCAGTTTAGGTGATTCTATCAAATCTGATTCCAGATATTGGCCATGGAGGTAGTCTGTCAAACTAAGAACTTGTTAAAGTATCCTCATAGTTCTCATTATTTATATAAGATGCAGAGCTCTTCTACTGATGCTTTCTCCATCTCAAGGAGGGCATTGCATTTTCCATCTACTAGCTTAAATGAGCATTGGAGACTCTTCTCCACATGGATCTTGCTCTCGTCCCTCAAAATACTTGGATGTGGAGCGTTTCTAAAGTGAAAATTTAAGTTTGGTCTGCCGGATTGTAACTAAACGCTATGCAATTACAACAATAACAGAAGCAGGGATTGAGACCATTGTTTGGGCAGTCACCTCAAGATACATCAATATATGCATATGATGCAAAGTTCTAACTGAGGAACTATTTTTACAAAACTCATTTCAGGGTATTTCAACAACCCACAGGCCACCAACGAGACAATAGATAAAAATGGTTGGGTACATACAGGAGATCTTGGATACTTTGATGAAGACGGACAACTTTATGTAGTCGATCGAATCAAAGAGCTCATTAAGTATAAAGGTTTTCAGGTAATTTCTCTTGGTAAAGTTTGAACAATTAATGCACAAAATTTCTACTGGTATTCTTGGTTCTTATGTTCAGTATAACCAAAATTTCAGCGGTAGAAAAAGAAACTGTTTTGTCCTTTTGAATAGATACATCAATTATCTATATAATAGCAATATCTCCTGTCATTTGGTTAATCTTCATAATTTGAAATAAGGCAATTTATCAGGCCAGAAATTAGAATAACTCTTCTCATGTTTGTTTTTATCAGTACACGTCCTATACATAAAAGAAACACACTTGCATTTTAGTGTTGGCTGATTACTTTTTAGATAGAACAGATTTCAGCATGCCCATACCTGGCTCTGATATCTGTAGGTCCAAAAGATATATGCAGGTTTTTCACTTAATATTTCCTGACCTTGTTTATATGCTCATACTTATTTCTGTTATATTTATTAGGAAAGAAACCTAATTTGAGTGTCAAACAAATATTCTAGCAATTTCTATTGCATAATAAACATTGATCCCATGCTTTAATGCCTTTAACTTTTGCTTGTCACTGCAACTAGAATATTTGGTCAATATGATGTATGTTAATGTTGTCAGATTTAGATTAACAGTTACTTATTATCTTTCTGGTTGTTGTTGGAATGCTTATGTATTCTCCGTACTTCCACTATTCTATTGAATCATGTTTTGTTTGCTTTGTTTCTCCTTTGCTAGGTGGCACCAGCAGAACTTGAAGGGCTGCTAGTTTCTCACCCTGAAATATTAGATGCTGTTGTCATTCCGTAAGTTTGACACAAACAGAATTTGCACTGATGATGGCCTCATCTTAAGACTTAACTAAACGATCGGGTTATTTCCATCCTACAGGTTTCCTGATGCCGAAGCTGGTGAGGTTCCGGTTGCATATTGTGTACGCACTCCAAACAGCTCACTGACTGAAGAAGATGTCAAGACTTTTATAGCTAGTCAAGTAAGTAGAGAATTTACAAGGAAGGATTATTATCAGGGACCTGAAATGATTTCCTTGATGCAAAAATTGCTCTTGTTTTTGCACTCATAATTCGTTTCGTGACAGGTTGCGCCTTTCAAAAGACTACGAAGAGTAACATTCATAAACAGTGTCCCCAAGTCAGCATCAGGAAAAATCCTACGAAGAGAGCTCATTGATAAAGTACGGTCCAAGATATGAGATTGATGGTTCCTCATTCTAATGTTTGCTTTGGTAAGGCAGACTAGCCAGCAGGGAACACAGCATGTTCCTTGCACACGCTTTAAAGTTGCAGGTATATTAAGGTATTCAGTTTGGTTGCCATTCTTTTTATGGAAGAAGAGCAGGATGTAGCTCGAAATACAAATAATGAAGGATTCTGTTCAACCTCTGAGCAATAAGTCTTTGCATTAACATTATAAGAGCATTTTCATTATGTTCAAATAGCAACTCTCAATTTACATAAAACAATATATAGCAATAAGTCTTTAGGTGATTTCTTATAGCAATGTCTTTATGTATTGTTGAATTCTGAATTGCTCAAACCGGCCAAAGCCAATTCGAGCAGTTTGACTAAATGTGTAATCTTGGATTGAATTTAATCAAACTGCAATTATTTCGTCTCTATTCGCTTTGGCCTACTATATTTTACACTTGACATTTTCTTATTGGTTATAACCATTGCTATTACGTTTCATTTAACAAATTGGTATCAACCACGTGATACAAAAAAACTAATCCATAAACCATTCGAATTTGATATCAACATTTCAACGGTAAACAATATTTCAATTATTGTTCAATTTACAGTATGACGATCTTTTTTTTTTTTGTGTGTGTGTGTGGTTATATTAGAGGAAAGAAACCCCATTGTGATTTGATCCTGGGTGCCATGGTGGGGAGGAGGAATCGACCACCACTGTGGTGGGAACCCATTGGCGATGTTCCCTTTGATATATGCAAGATAATATAAAATATCAACAACGCAATACGGCAAGGGATCCACTAATGTAGTGCTTTGTAGCAATTGCTCCCCAGGAAAGGTCCTGAGTTCGAATCCTAGCATATGTGTAATGTGTGTGAATTTAGTATGCTATCGCCCCTCTCAATAGGAAAGATCTTCAAAAAAATAAATCATATATCATTATTGAACCATAGACAAATTAAATTACATGATGTATATCTTATCTAAGCTTTGTATATATATATAAATCATTTCATTGTCGAAAGTTTAATATGTTTGATACTCCATGTCTTTGCTTTCCTTGTCCTCGTTTCCCTTGCATCTCTCTCCAAATCCTACGAAAGTTTCAAAGATACATTTCTCTCATAACCTTAATTAATTTCCTTAGTTTTCTTCTAATTAAGAAAAATATAGAAGCATATGCAGGAATTTCACTCCACTGGAACATCAGTTCTATCTTCTCTAACATCACTCATATTCTCCTTCAATATTGAAAATCATCATCAGCATGCATACTTTCAAGGACACACACACACACACATATATATATATATATATATATGCGGTTGTGCTGGTAGTCTTGCTCCCATTATTCACTCTCTTTGCGCACTCCATCCAAATTGACCTTTACGGATGGACTGATTTAAAAGAAATGATTTAAATTTCGACAATAAGGTGAAAATAGTTAAAAAAAAGAAACTACAAAAACACTACACAAAAATTTGCTATGGATTTGAAACAATTACAAACAAAATATTTGAAGTGGATTTAAAATAACTATATGCAATTGATTATTTGAAATTCCTGTGTTTACAATACATATAAAAAACACACGAACCATAAAGCTTCACAATTCTGATTATAAAAGTACTGCATGATTATGATCCTTGGCCTCGATCACAACCATATTATGATGCTGCCCAAGTTTCCTATTCCTAAGGAGTGCAATATTACTAGGTTGTGGTCGACATGCCCTCGCATTTGAGAAGGAGTTCCTAGCAACTTCTCCCACCATATTATGATGTTGCCCAACTTTTGGCATCAATCTGAAATCAATTGGTCGAAGAAGTTGGTCACTTTAAGTTCGTACCCAAGTTCGTCTCCTAAAGGGATTGGTTACAACATTGCATAGTTTTAGTAATTGGATTTTAGTAAAAACTCATCAAATGACTCCTCCCAACATATTATTATGTTGCCCATGTTTTGGGCTCGATCCGAAATCAATTGGTCAAAAAAGTTGTTCACTTTAAGTTCGTGCCCAAGTTCGTACTGTAAAGAGAGTGGTTGGAACATTGCATAGTTTTATTAATTGGATTTTAGTAAATACTCACCAAATGACTCCTCCCACCATGTTGATGTTGCCCAAGTTTTGGGCTCGATCCGAAATCAATTGGTCAAAGAAGTTGGTCACTTTATGTACATACCCAAGTTCGTACCATAAAGGAAGTGGTTAGAACATTGCATAGTTTTAGTGATTGGATTTCAGTTAAAACTCACCAAAGGCCTCAATTCGAAATCAATTAGTCAAAGAAGTTGGACACTTTAAGTTCATACCGTAAATGGAGTGGTTGGAATATGGCATAGTTTTATTAATTGGATTTCAGTAAAAACTCACCAAATGACTCCTCCCATCATATTATGATGTTGCCCATGTTTTGGGCTCAATCTGAAATCAATTAGTCAAAAAAGTTGTTCACTTTAAGTACGTACCCAAGTTCGTATCGTAAAGGGAGTGGTTGGAAGATTGCATAGTTTTATTAATTGGATCCTAGTAACTACTCACCAAATGACTCCTTCCATCATATTATGATGTGGTCCAAGTTTTGGGGTCGATCCGAAATCAATTGGTCAAAGAAGTTGGACACTTTAAGTTTGTATCGTAGAGGGAGTGGTTGGAACATGGCATAGTTTTATTAATTGGATTTTAATAAAAACTCAGCAAATGACTCCTCCCACCATATTATGATGTTGCCTAAGTTTTGGGTTAGATCCGACATCAATTGGTCAAAGAAGTTGGTCACTTTAAGTTTGTACCCACGTTCGTACCGTGGAACGGATAAGAAAGTTGTGGACACGTCAGAATAGGTGTGGTTTGAGACAAGCATATGACTACTGGCAGGATTAACTAGGTAGCATTTCTTTCCAACATCGGCTCAGTGCAAGAAAAATGACCTTGTGGATCAAGAGCTTGCCGCGGGCACGACAGTCGTACTTGTTGAGCGAAAAAGTTTCAAATTGGACGATGGGAGGCCAAAGACCCAACGTCCGCTTCATGCTCTGAATCTGAGATCACAAGCAGAAACTTGTGGACCTTCATAATCTCACAATGAGGCGTGGCTTGACCGGGACACATGCATTGCTACAACGTCCTCATGCTGCCTGCGAAAGGTAAGAGAAGGAAAGGGACAACGAGAGGCACCATTCCTTAACAATAAGTAGCCAAAACAAGAACCCATTAACACGCACAAGCCAATCTTGAAGTATCAATGACGAGGGGTATGAGACGATAGTTCGATGCCAGAGCAAAGAGCCTGCCAGTGTATACAACCCATTCAGCACTCACACGTCGTTGCTTTAGCAAAGCCCAGTGTTGAGACCCAAAAATCCAAGGGTTGGGCCCAAGTTTATTCCTAGCCCAGCACAAATATTTAATTGCAAAAGGAGCCCAATTGGGACATAAGGGAACTTGTAGGATGCATCTGCGCGAGCCATGAGCCACGTGTCACGCCAAGCAAACGTGCATCCCCACCACGCAGAGGGGGCCAAAACGCACCGGCTCTATAAATTCACGCTTACTAACCTATCCAATGCTACTTGGCTCGATCATAGCTTATTGTGGCATGATGGAACTCAAGCACAAGCATGCTGAATAAACATGCAACGCCATGTAAAAGATCGTTATTCTAATACCATGTCGTGCTACAGGCTTAAGTGGGCCCAAGCCACGTAATTACTCGGGGCTTGCTGAGAAGGTTGTGGTATGAACGAGTACGAGCACTGTTGCGTCGATACAGCTGCACCAAAATGGATTCAGTTGCATCCTCAACTTGTGATACTCGCAAGTGCACGAACCGTTGGTAGTTTAGCGTATGTAAGTGCGAGGTCGATTCCACAGGGATTGGTGATTGAATGATCCAATTTAGTTTCCCTACACAAAATAGAAACAAAAACAAAGAACATGAAAGAAGGAAGAAAATAAGAAAGTAACTCAAGCAAATAAATTCCCAAGTTCAATTAGATTAATGGATTGGTTCTAGCTAAAGTATGATTAAGCCATGGTGTGTGGTCATAACCTTGTGTTCCTAATTCCCTAATTTGAGCATTTGTTGTCTAACCTGAAATTAAGCATTAGGAACCCATTAAGCATAGAAGAACAATTTAAACAACCAAGCATGTATCTAATCCCTGTTGTCGAATGTCCATA